CGTCAACTCAGTAAGCAGTAGACAAAGGAAATACAAATCGAGTAAGCTGCGATGGTGTGTGTGTGTGTGTGTGTGCAGGCCCTGTATGAGGCTCAGCGGAACAAGGACAAGGCGGCCGGACAGGAGAATGCGAGTGCAGCGAGTGGACTTGATCCGACCGGCGTTGTGCGTGCATTGAGGCGAGTACGGGACCCTACAGGAAACAAGAACAGCTCCAACTTCGGCATCGGCGGCCAGAAGAACAGCAAGGATCCCCGCTTCCTCGTGAAGATGGGCGAGAACCCCAGGAAGACCTTCTCCATCCGCGTGCACGGGCGCAAGACGGCGCTCATTATGGCTGTCAACGAGCGCAATCGCCAGGCGGCCGAGAACGGGGCCCTCTCGCCCATCGTTGGGTACGAGGGGGTGGCCGACTCATTCGAGCGGGGCGAGATTGGCGTGGCTATGGCAGCTGATGGACCGGCATCGGTGGCTCCTTCAGCCAAATCTGATGCCATCGAGTCATCCAACCTGGCCGACTCCAAGCAGCTGCCTGAGCGGCGGGAGGGCGGGAGGCCGGTATTGGATATGATGAGAGAGGAGTCGTCGAGCGACAGCGACAGCGATGACGACAGGGTCATTCCGATGAGGCGTGGGAGGGAGGGGGCGCGGGGGCTGTGGGGTGGGAGCCGCTTGGCTGACCATGACATTGTCGAGGCCGTAAGGAAGGTGCGCGGCATGGAGAAAGTCGCACTCAGGCTGCACAAGGTCAGTCGACACACATATACGTCGACACTTGTGATTTACTCTGTCTGCCTTGCTCTCTATCAGGGCGAGGTGTCTGCTGGTCAGTTGCTTGAGACGCTTCAGGACGGCAGCCAAGCGCTCTCTCGACTGAACAACCTTATCTCCACCCAGCAGCTGCGCATTGGCCATGTGATAGATGTATGTGCTGCTATCCGCGGTGTGCAAGGCGACCCTCTGCTGGCCTCTTACCGCGAGGATGAGAAGTGCAGGAAGCTGATTGAGCTGCAATCACCAGACATGCTATACGATGGCCTCAGCGAGGACCCCAAACTACATCCGCTGGCCACTAGCCTGAAAGAGGTGAGCACAATGGCACACACACAGACACACGTGTCCGTGTATGTTTGTTGCGGTGTGTGAAGGAGCGTGTGTCTGGTGTTGGGCTGGTGAGGTTGATCCGCTTATGCAATCGTGTGCTGGAGAAGGAAGAAGAGCGCTTTCTTGAGAGTCTGATGATGTCCCAACCAGATGGCCTTCGGTTGCGCGTCTTCCAGTGGCATGTGCGGCTGATCCTCTTAGCGCTGACGAAGCATGGCATATTGGAATCAGCGAAGTGACTTAGTCAGGAATATGTCACATCATCAGTTGTATAACTCGAGTTTGCAGAGGGACCTTAAGAGGCATGTCATTATTATATCTGCTTTCTGGTGGATGCCCGTTCTTGTATGATTGCTGCATATCACAGCTGACTGCATCATATCACAGCTGACTGCATCTGATTCAGACAGCTTGTGAACTCAGAGCCGGGGACGACACATGGGTTAGAGCGGTAACGGAACGCGAAACTCAACGCAAGCCCACCTGTAAAAAAGATGTGGTTCGACCACCTGCGGCCTCGGACACCCCCTCGAACCTCGCGGCTTCCCTCCCGCAGTCCTCCCCCCCGACAGCCGGCCTCTCCTCCGCCTCCGCCATGGTGGCATGAGGCCTCTCGAGCTCCGTCGCGTTCGCCGCCTCCGTTCAGAAGCAGATCACGTTCACCGACACCATACAGACGAGGTTTGTGAGCGAGCGAGTGACTGAATGAATGAATGAATGACTGCTACACTTTCGTTTCTGCGTTGATTGCCTGTCACGTGCCTGGCTTCTTCAGGTCGTTCGCCGCGGGAGAACAGCGTTCCGGATTCCATCCTCGACCGCGAGTCTGACACACTGGCGGCGCTTGAGGAGATCTGTGGGGCAAGGATATCGATCAGACGAGACAGACGAGTCGGCCCTCCGCTTACGATAGATGGGCCGGCTCCCGGTAGGAGACTGGCGAATCGGCTCATTGAGCTGCTGTCGGAGAGAGAGAGGCGGCCGTTGGATGAGCCGCTCACGCTGCCTGAGAGGCGGCTTATGGCTATTCGTAATGATGATCGGGATTCCTTCTGCGTCGTGAGTGTGCCTGACGAGCCTGACTGCAAGTCAGTCATTCGAGGGAGAATCAAAGCGGCTGGCAAGAAACTGCTGGTGTTCTGCGTAGGTTCCAAAGGGCCCTTGCAGGTGGGTGGGTGGAAAGACATGGAAAACGCACACACATCACATCCCTGGTTTTCTCTTGCTGTGGGATCTATCGATCAGCCCAGTCCTCTCTTTAGCTGTCCTGATCGATGCGTACTTTTGGTCATCTTCGGAGAAAGGTAGGGGAACGAACAGCACAGCGCCTGTTTTTTGCTTTAATCTCTGTGTGGCATGTGCAGTTTTGGGCGGCAGCGCTTTGCCTTGGACGTGATGCACGACGTGGAAGTCATTCGTCCTCATTCGTATCCTCGATGCTATGCGGATTATCGGCCTTGTGACTCTCCATTTCGCCAGCTGCCTCCTAGCAGCCCTGACGCGAGCAGCATTGACGCAGAGCAATGCTACGTGGGACGCGAGCATATCGGCCATATCATCAGTCGGCGATCCGTGTTCCAGTGTGTGACCGACTGCTGTGCAATGGTCGTGGGGAAGTCTGCTAACTCTGCAATCGTACTCGGTGCGAGCAGCAGATGCAAGTGCGTAGTATGTTACAGCCGAGTGCATGTGTGGATGATGTTTGTTTGCAGGTCCTCTATTTGCCAGGCGATGGTGCATGAAGCTAATCTGGGACAACACAAGGTCGTTCAAGTATTCTGTTGACATGAGGGCTCTGGACAGCTCAAATGAGTCTCTCTTCCCCCCCCTGACCAGCAGCGATTTGAGAGATAGGTATAAATAAATGGCCAACTAGGAATGGTGCAGTGTGTTTGTTTGTTTGTCTCTGTGTGTCGTCTGTGTAGGCGATGCGTTCTTCGACAAGACAAGGTGCTTTTCGTTGTCGCCGACGCAGTTGCTGCTGAGGCACAGAAGGTTATCCATTTACTCAAAAGGAGCAAAGCCCATACGTTGTCTTATTGGACGACCGAGTACGCACACGGAGAGGCAAAACACAGGAGGCGGCCTCTGTATTCTCACGTGTGCTGTCCCCCTAGGCTGCCTGGCCTGCTGTCAGAAGGTCGCCAGGTGCGGCTGGTCTTGGGCTGTGAGCCGAGGGATGCACAAACACTAGCGGGTCACTTACTAGACACACTGCCGAATGCCAAAGCCTTCTTGCTGCCGCCGAATCGGTAGGCTAAGGACGAAACATGGTGATGGCATCCATCTGTACTTCCTTTGCCGTTCATCTCTTTGTTTGGTAGGGATGATCTTCACTTTGATGAGGTGCCAAGGTGTGAGCTGACTTCACGGCCGGTCCGACTCAGTCCAGCAGCGCCGCCAACACATCAGGAGCGGCCAAACGACATCCCGAATTCTCATCGTCGGCCACAAGAGCCTGCGCTGTTTCCCAAGATGCCTGCTGCCGCCCCCACAAGAGCTGCCGAGCAGACCTCCAACAACCAGGCGGTGCTGGCCGCAGACAAGGGCGGCGAAAAAGGTCAGCGATGGCCACCATGACAGAGGCATACGAACGCTCATTCATCATGGCCCTTGTCTCTCTGTGTGTATGCTGTGTGTGTAGGGTGTGACGCACCTGAGGCTCCAGCTGCTGTGGCGGCGGCAGAGGAAGCAGTGCTGCCGGCAGAACGGAAGGATAAAGAGCGTGCAGCAGATCACCAGCCCCCGACGGCCCGTCCGGCTAACCACCCTGACGCCCCCAAGGCGTCTTTCACCCATTCGCCCATCACACCGGCCGCTGCCTCTGCTCCCCCTATTGCCCCGCAGCACCACCACCGCCCCTCCGGGCCCGGCCTTTCAAGCGCCCGCTCGCGTGAGTCAGAACATCCCAGCGAAGCCAAGTCCAGCAATGGCGCATACTTCGGCGGCTTCTTCGGCGACTCGCCCGATGATGAGAAGGACAGAGAGGACAACGACGATGAGTACTGGGCCCGTGCAAGACAGGCGCCCAAATCAGACGCCAGCGTGAGCGAGGAAGGGCAAGAGGGCGATGGAGACGAGCAGATGGGCAGCGGAGAGGCTGACGATGGCCGAGTGGCGTGGGATGCGATGACGGTCGACGACCTGCACTTCATTCTGTCGATCCACCCGTGCCCAGAGGTCAACAAGGTGGCTGACGCTCTCACCACGGGCATGGTAAGGGGGACAGACCGGGGAGAGAGAGAGGGATGACACACTGGCTGGATGTCTGTGTCTATTTATTTATCAGCAGACGAGCAAGGAGGGCTCATCGTCTTCGGCATCAAGCGGCAGTCTCTTATCCTCTTCTGACTGCAGCGGCTACACGCCCCAACACCTCCTCGACGATCTCGCCGGCCCCCTCCCTCTCGCACTCCACCTGCGCCCCGCAGCCGACATGCGACACGCGCTTCTTCCCGTCATGCGCGTGGGCCCCATGATTGCCATCTATTTGACGCTGAGGCAGGTCCGTCGGCTGGCCGAGACGAGGGGCGGTGTCAGCCGCGGCGACATTGCGGAGGCGCTCGAGAGCAGCCGGGAGGGCGATGATTGTCACAATCCTCTGGCTGCGGAGGATGTGTTGGCTGTGGGCGAGCTGTATGACATGCTCAAGACGGGCCAGGGGCTGAGGCCACTCGCGAACCGACTCAAACAGGTGGGTGGCAGACCACAGGCAGCGTCCATCTAGCGAGGTGATGCATTTGTGTGTGTGTGTTTCGTGTATGTTGTCAGGAGAGGTTCACAGGTGTGTCGCTGGGTCACGTGC